GGATTTTGTTATCTGCTACTTTCTTCTTCATTCCTCAGAGTCACTTTAAACTGAATTATGATGTCAATGGACATTCTGAATTCCAACAAGTTTCTTATTTTTCTGCAATTGTGTTAACACAGGAAACACAACTTAAATATGAACAATCAAATTTCAACTAAGAAAATCTATTTCAAAGAACTTTTAACTTTCAAACTTTGCATCTGTCATTGCATTAGTGTAATGTAAAATATCTAGTTGCAGGAAATAACATGACCAATATCAAAGACATTCCAGATTTTAATGAAATCTGTTACTAAATTGGCACAAACAATATAAAAATATTACTATCAACAATGTGATCTTTGTACATTAAAATGGCCTCATAATAATTTAATTTTACTGAGGAAACTGAATAGAAAATATCAAAAAGAAAAGGAAAACTATACAAGCAGAAGCAACAGAAGTGGTAACAACAACAACAACAACAACAACAACAACAAAAACAACAACATGTGTTTGGATTACCCAATTTAGACTCAGAGGTATCTTATCCCTCTCCCTCAAACTGTATTACTAAGTCTGCAACTGCCCCTAGACTTGCTTGCTTTTCTAGAGTTTCCTCCCTCCTAACACTTTTGGGTAGTATTTCTCACCCTAAATAAACATGGTCCGTTCATTTTAAAGTTCCCAAGGGTAAGAAACATTGCTTTAAGGATAAGTTTCCCCTCCCTTCAGAAAGCAGACTCAATAGACATTTGGACAACTCAGAAACCCCTTATCTCATTCCACAATCCTCTCTCCTTTATAACATAACATATGCAGTAGATAAAAAAACACAGAGAGATAGCTAGGAACTCTCTACCTTTTAAGTTATTTCTTTTCTTTCTAGTTATCTTTTACTTCCTTCTTTTCTCCTCTTATATTACTTTTTCTAGCTTATATAACAGTTAGTAATATAGAAGCATCCAGATATTCCATTGACATTCTTGTCATCAGTTCAAAAGGGATATGGTGGTTTTTCATTTTCCTCCAACGTGCCCGCTCTGAAGATTGTAGTAGCCAAACTCAGACTGCCTTCTCTTTTACCATTCATCAGTAAAAGTGTTTTTCACTTCAGTTTCAGTGTGTCTGCTTTCAACTCTCTATTAACTATAGTAATAAGGTAGTATAATAATTTTTAAAACCTATAGTAAAGAAAATATGTACTCAGGTTTCCAGGTTTTGTATCCTTAGCTAGTAACCTTGATATTTCAATAAGTAGTCTACATACAGTTTGTGTAGTCATGTAAATCAGTTACAATTGTTGGAACAACTGAATAATCATTAGTAACACACATACTGATTGGTATGAGGAGGTATTAAGTTATACATTTGAAAAACCTAAGACCATCATTTGGGGACAAAATCTGAAGAACCTTAAAGTAAAAATACCCTTCATACTGCATAAGTTCCATGGCAAGTTCAGATAGATTGATTGAGAGAGTTCTGTACAAAGGAGAAAAATATTTGTGAGAAGCAACACATGTCCGCGCACACACAAACACACACACATACAAATGACTTTCTGATTATAATGAAGCTGATTGTTGGAGTTTGTAGTTGAGGCTGTAGTTCGAAGATGAAATCACTTTTTTCCCCTCGAATGAAATCAGGTTTTTGTTCAACTAACTCACATAGCTGCTCTGGGTGGGAGGCAGAGTCTTATCAAGAAGCAAATACTAAAATTAAAAGCTGCTCTTTCCCTACCACTAGTCTTTTTACAACCCAAGAGCTATGACTAGCTGAATTTGCAAGGATCAGTAGCAGTTTTGGACAAAACACTCTCCTTCCCAATCATGACATTTTGCATAAATGTCAAAAGAGTCATTTTGTCTTTCTCCTGCTTTTATCACTGCTGCTTAACTGAAACACTTTCCAGCACTCTGAAGCTCAGGAGAAAGAGATCAGAATGAGAACTTCATGAAAGCCTAAGGATCCAGACAGAGTGGATCATGATTGGTAGATTCCTCCCTAGAGAAATAGAAGTCTCTTCCCTCATTCTCTTTATGCCTCAACCAAAGTCAATGTCCACTGTAATGTACACATTACTGGGAATGAAAATCATAGGCAACCACATCAAAACAAATTAAAACATTTATTAAAAATAATGATATTTTATTAATAGTAGCATTCCCAGATTGTTGAATAATAACTCAATAATCTTTTCACTGCTTAGGTAATTAACATGATTTGATTGAAAAAAAACCCCTCTTCTTATAATCATTAGAGATAAATGTGAACTGCTTGATGAACCATAGCTCAATCACTGCTTGTCATCGAGTAATGGAGAAAACTAGAACAATGCTGAAAAATCATCCTCATTCTAATTTTGTGTGGAATACAAAGGGTGAGGGAGGAAGAAGTCACATTTTTTATAATTCATTTTCTCTCCTTTACTCCTTCTCCTTCTCTTCCTCTTCCTCTTCCTCCTCAAAGAGCTTGCATATTTTCTTTTCAGTAAACAATTACCACCTGGCTGTGCAGGTTCAAGTGATCCTTATTTAGTGAGAAGGAAGAGTATGCAAGCTTATTTTACTGCTTGTATGTACATTCAACAAACACAGTGATAAGATGACTTTCCCATATTCTGGCATGAAGGAGAGTGAAAGGAAGGAAAACAACTTACTGCTTTCCTTTTTTCTTGGGAAAAAATGGCTGTGCATTCTTTCAGGTTTATGAGAGCTCTATTACTCCTTCTTAGTAAATATGTCTGATCAGGCAACACTACATTTATTTTTTTAAATGTTTACAAATGCTGTTCTTTTTCCCTCAGGCAGCTTCTATTCATCTACAACACTGGAAATTAAAAGTAGGATGTTAAAATGTTACATCTAGTTCTACAATACATATCTGAGTCTTGTATATGTCACTGAAAATTGGTTTGATGTAGTAATTAAAAGCACTCTGCTAGAAACAAGGAGACTATGAGTTCAAATCCCATTTTAGGCATGAAGCCAGCTAGGTGACCTTGGGCCAGGCCTTCTCGCTCAGCCCTTGGATGCAGTAAGAGGCAAACAACTTCCATAATCTTACCAAGAAAACCAAAAGGGTTTGTCCAGGCAGTCATTAGGAGTCAAGACTGACTCAAAAGTGCAAGAAAATAAGTGTTACTATATATCCAGTGATTATTTGGTAATTAGTAAGATGCCTGTGAATATATTAGTAGATCTAAGTAAGTTGGAAAGAGTTGGAAAGTCAGACAAGAGAGTTTTTACATCTACAGGTGGCTCTTGTTTAAGAACCAATCACTCAGTGACCTTTCAAACATATGACCACGCTGAATATTGTATGACCACTCCTGATGGCCATTAGTGGCCTCATGGTTATATCATTGTGATTTGTGACCTTCCCCTTTTAGCTTCAAATAAACAAATCAACAGGGAAGTTGGCAAGAAGTAACAAGTTACAGCCAAGTGAGGTCCTTGCTTAATAACCCACATAGTCCTCATTTAACAACAATAACCAGGAGAACTATAACTGCCCTTGCCAAGTAGCATATTATATGTGTTTTTTTCTATTTATGACCATGTTGTATAACAATGGAGCTTCTGTATCTAATTAGCATTGTTAAGTGAGGACTACCTGTATTCTATTTCTCATTAGCTTCTTTCTGCTACTATGTTGGCTGAATGGACAGGAATTGTGTAAGAATAAGGGCAGAACAGCACAGAGTAGATGAAGGCATATTTCAGAAGGGTTACTGTGGTGACAAAGGAGCTGAAGGGGTGCAGTTGCCCCAGTGTGAATTTCATTGAATCTGTATTTTAATCTCCAACCATCCCTTTAAAGCATCTGCAATTTTTGTTTTTTCAAACAACCTACAGAGGCATATAAGAACTGTAGTAGAAGTATACTTGCTCTTTAAAATATGGATTTTCAGAGCAGAAAAACAACAGTCATTAAAAACAGCCAGTTTATACTAATTTAGATTATCAGATCCTGTTATTTTGGTATACAAAAATTGTCAATGCTATTCCACATAAGAAACTACTTCAAATAATCCAACAAGACTACACCACCTGGTATAGTGCATACATGTGCAATCAATCATACACTTTAATATGCTGTAGCTACAGTTAATATTTCTATCTTTTATCAAAACTAGACCAAACGTCTCCAAAGAAAACTGCACATTTTTTGCATAATAAAACATTCAATCTCTATAAAATTTTGTATATACTTTACAAGTACATGAGAGATCGTTACTATGTTTCTTGTTAGCTTCTGCATTAGTTTTCTTAGATTAGGAAGGCCCTGTACATAAATTGAATAAACGTTGAGATCTAATTGGAAATCCAGAGAAAATAACCTATAGTAAAATGAAATTTCAACATTATTGAAGGCTAATCTATTTATTCCAAGTGTTTCCATTTATTAAGACCAGTTTTCACTGAAGTTTTCTTATTAGACTAAGAAGTGCTCTTGCATCCAAACAGTATTTCACCAATTGCATCAGGCTCTGCACTAGAATCTAGGAATGCTTAACCTTGTTTCTGAATGTTTCTCAAAACAGTGTTTGTTTAAGAGTACACTGAATGTTATGGTTGAAGAAAAAGCTAACATGACGTCCACAAAGAGAAACACCCATGTTAATACTGAATTGGATTTCAATATTTATGCTTCAGATGATGTAATTAACCAAAAAAAGCATTTGCCAGTATAATAAACATTCAATATTTTTATATATGGATATATGCCATGATACTTCCAATTTCAGTTTCTAATTCTGAAGTTTTCTTTTAAAAAGCTGATGATGAGGTGAAAACAACTTCATTTATTATTATAAATGTGTGACTTATACTCAAACAAACAACCCATGTAAATAATTTCATTTGCTTCAGGGAGTTGAAATAGTTTCTGTTAATACTTTTTTCTGCACATCATCAATTTGCTTTTGATTCATATTTCTTCTATTGTCACTGTAAGCTTACTTGTTGTTTTTTCTTTCCTTTTCTTCATGCTGTCGTTTAGAGCCCTACAGAGAGACAAGTATGGGAGTAAAGCTAAACATTGCATATCAAATGTAATTTTTTTAGTTCACTTTTTAATGCATCATATATCAGTGATGTACATATTTAAAACAATTCATCTCTCACAATACAGAATCAAGAATAATAAGCCATATTTTATAACTATATACAGATAATAGATATGTTGTGTCTGTTTCGTTTTGTTTTTCATCCAGTATGTTTAGTTTTGTGTAACTGTATATGAGAATGACATTTCTTTTTAATTAATAATATTTTTGTCTGCAAAGTCATACTGTTTTCTTGCTGTGGCACATTTCATGAGAACTGCATTTCATTTTCAATGCAAGGCAATATTTTATTTTCCTCAAATATATAAAAATGATAACTTCCAGCTAATAATTGTATGCTTTTGCTGAAAAAGCAAGCAGCAATGCCTTAATGGGTAGGCATAACCAGTCAAGAGTCATCCACTAATCTTTGCAATCTCCAACCATTATGTGGATTGTTAATATGAATTTAAACTATAAAAAAATGAATGATTTTGTTCTGCATCTGTAAGGGCTATTTTTCACTCATATTTTTTGTCTATATGAAACACAGATACTACATATAACACCCAAATTTCAGTATATTAAAATAAGCCTGAAAACAGGGGGCGGGGGGGGGGGGTGGGCGGGGAGACCTTGGGGTAAAACATACTTAAGAAAAGAAAAATTGCAAGGTCTACATGTAATGACACTTCCCAGTCCACAGGGCTTCACAGATGCAGATTGAATTCATTGTTTTCAGAAACTTTGTCTTCTGAAAGTGAAAGGCCAACAAATGGCCAGGAATTTACTTCAATAAAACAATGCTGGTTTAGCCTTGTCTGCTCTTTCTGGCAATAGCATCGGAATTAATAGAAAAATGTGAACCCTTTGCATGTCTCATCTTTTGCATGCATTTAAAAGATTATAATATTAGAGATACTCAGATGGATCATGAGTGCCTGAAGACTGTTAGTTATTCTAAATAAGGGTTATCGCCCAAAACCCTGCAGTGAGGTACTTTTGGGGTACTTCCAACTCCAGCTATTTGAGAAGTGTGTTGATTTACATAATTGAGGGAACCAAAGAGAAACAATATCACAATACTTGGGATCAGCTAAAGAAAAGGAGTTAGTTTTTGAATGTCATAGTGCTTGCCCTACTGTTAAAAAGAAGAAAAGCATGTTTTTTGTGTTGTATGACAAAAACCCTGTTTGCAGTATGTTGCTATCTAAAAATGCCATTAGCTAGGAACTCAGTTACTTTGCATCCCCAGGAAAGTGTGAAGATGCAGCTGGACATGCTAGGACAAAGCAACAGGGCTTATGCTCCACTTAAAAATACCAAAGCTTCAAATCTCAGTCATTAGTAAAAATTAGCGCAAAGAAGAGAAAACATCTAATGTAATACATCTGGATATGTGCTATAGTTGTCTGCCACCTGTTGGAAGCCAGGCAGAAGAAAGACTACTATGGTAGTATTGGTCAGTGTTTCTCAACCTATGCAACATTATTATGTATGGACTACTACTCCCAGCCACCAATTTACAGTGTAACTTTCTCAGTGAACATTAAAGTTGGAAAAATAGTTTTGCCAAGGAGGGTTTCTTCAACTGAAAATATACATTGATCTAAACCAAATTCCCCCAAAGTGGTCAGTTAGCTTCTGACAGATAGCAAATTCCTCCCACCACTTTTTTGCCAACCTGCCCACCCTATCTAAATACCTGCACTTGCTCCATAGTATCTGCCCACAACACTCACCATCCATAGGTCTTGCCCATTAGCCCCCTTGCCTGGGACTCCCACCTCTTCCCATGTCATCACATGAGATCCTCAGTTAATAACCCATGCAGACCAAGCAGGGGTGGGCTTCAAAAATTTCAGCTAAGGGTTCTCTGCCCAGTTGCTGAGTAAGCATGGCCATGGTGGGCATGGTCTCCTACACCACGGCATTGGGCATTTTCACCTTCCCCAGGCTCTGAGACTTTCCTCGAGCCTCTGGGAAGGTGAAAACGGCTTCCCTCAGGCTCCAGAGGCCCTCTGAAGGCCGTTTCCGGAGGCTCATTTTCCCCCCTCCCTGAGCCTACGTACAGGCCCTGTACTTACCTCACATCCAAAATGGGCCACTTGGAGACTCCTGGGTGGGAAGGGGAGGGGAGGAGTGGGGAGGGGGGCAGCCAGTGGTGGAATTTTGATTTGCCTTTATAACTTGAGGACTACCTATAAAACTACCAGTAGTGGGATACGACCGTTACGCCCCGTTACAGGCATACCTGTGCCTGCTGGGAGCACCAGGTACCGTTCTGGTATGGTGCTCCAGAGGGCTCACCCACCCGCCAGCCCTCTGTACCTGTATTTGAGCTGATCAGGGCTTCCACCACACGCATGGAGCGTACGGCGCTTGCGCAATGGTCCACTGAGCAGCTAGAGCGTTGCGGAGCATCGCGGGCAGTAAGCATGCATGTGGTGGACACCTGGCCCTGTTGCACCATCCCGATTGCAATGGGATCTGGAACCCACCACTGAGGACTACCTACTATGTTTCTCCACCCCTCTCCATCCCCCAAATCAGCTAGGTGCAGTCATTTTGAGCTTGACACTAAACTGCTATATGGAATCCTCCATTCAGCCTTCTTGGCAGTGATGCCAAAGTGGCTTGCCATTGTCTTCTTATGTAGCCCTAGTATTTCATCTTAACTTCCCACCCAACTGGGTTAGACTTGTGTAGCTTCTGAGCCAGATCAGCCACATGCTGCCACAACTGAGTTTAGGACCATTTGTTGTTCAATCACTAAGTAATGTCTGATTCTTTGCAACCCCATGGACCATAGCACATTAGCCCCCCACCTTTTCCGATGTCTTCTGGAGTTTG